GCAGCATCGGCTAAAGTTCAACACATCGAGTTCTAGAAGCAAGACTATTCTGGAACTGGTTCATTCTGATGTATGGCAAGCACCGGTTACATCCTTAGGAGGAGCAAAGTACTTTGTGTCCTTTATTGATGATTACTCCAGGAGATGTTGGGTGTATCCTATCAAGAAGAAGGCGGATGTGTTCTTAGTCTTTAAAGCCTACAAAACGCGGATCAAGCTTGAATCTGAGAAGAAGATCAAGTGCTTGAGGTCAGATAATGGAGGTGAATACACAGATGGTGAATTCCTAGCATTCTGCAAGCAAGAAGGCATCAAAAGACAATTCAGTACGGCTTATACTCCACAACAAAATGGAGTGGCGAAGCGGATGAACAGAACTCTGTTGGAAAGAACAAGAACTATGTTGGCAACTGTAAATTTGGAAAAAGTTTTTTGGGCGGAAGCAGTAAAAACCGCTTGTTATGTGGTGAATCGATCTCCATCAACTGCAATACAATTAAAGACGCCAATGGAGATGTGGACTGGCAAGCCAGCTGATTATTCCAACCTCCATATATTTGGATGTCCAGTGTACGTAATGTACAATGTTCAAGAAATTACAAAGCTGGATTCAAAATCCAGAAAATGCATATTCTTTGGGTATGCTGATGGAGTAAAGGGGTATCGTCTGTGGGATCTCACTACCCGCAAGGTTATCATCAGCAGAGATGTTATCTTTGTAGAGAACCAACTACAAAGTGAAGAGAAAGAAATCAGTTCGAGGAAGGACTCAGAGACTGTAGCTGTTCAGATAGAAGATAATCTGAATTCTTCTGAAGCAACACCGGAGCATGATGTACAAGAACCGGTCGAGTCCGAGGCTCCAGAAGTTCGAAGGTCAACTCGTGAGAGAAGACCACCGACTTGGCACTCGGAGTATATTACGGAGAGTAATGTTGCATACTGTCTTCTAACAGAAGATGGAGAGCCATCAACTTTTCATGAAGCTATAAATGGCACAGATGCATCTTTGTGGATGGCAGCAATGCAGGAAGAAATTGAAGCTCTCCATAAGAACAAGACTTGGGAACTTGTGTCACTGCCACAAGGAAGAAAGACCATTGTAAACAAATGGGTCTACAAGATCAAGCGAAACGGCGATGATCAGGTGGAGCGATATCGTGCTAGATTGGTGGTAAAAGGATATGCTCAGAAAGAAGGTATTGATTTTAATAAAATATTTTCTCCTGTAGTTCGACTAACAACAGTCCGAATAGTCCTGACTATGAGCGCTATATTTGACTTACATCTAGAGCAGCTAGATGTGAAAACAATATTTCTTCATGGAGATCTTAAAGAAGAAATTTACATGCTCCAACCAGAAGGTTTTGAAGTAAAAGAAAAAGAGAACTTGGTTTGCAGATTGAACAAATCTCTGTACGGTCTAAAGCAGGCGCCGAGGTGTTGGTACAAGAGATTTGATTCATTCATCATGAGCCTTGGATACAACAGACTTAATTCAGACCCTTGTGCATATTTTAAGAGGTTTGGTGAAAATAACTTTGTTATCTTATTGTTGTATGTTGACGACATGTTGGTTGCAGGTCCCAACAAAGATCGTATCAAAGAATTAAAGGCTTAGTTGGTGGCTAGGGAATTTGAAATGAAGGATTTAGGATCTGCAAACAAGATTCTAGGGATGCAAATTTACCGAGACAGAATTAATAGGAAGATTTGGCTTTCTCAGAAGAACTATTTGAAGAAAATCTTGCGACGCTTTAACATGTAAGATTGTTAGTCAATTTCTACCCCACTTCCTCTTAATTTCAAGTTATCCTCCAGTATGAGTCCTAGCAGTGAAGAAGAGAGGATGGAGATGTCTTAAGTACCGTATGCATCAGCAGTGGGAAGCTTAATGTTCGCGATGATTTGTACAAGACTAGACATTGCACAAGCAGTGGGAGTGGTTAGTCGATACATGGCGAATCATGGTAAAGAGCATTGGAATGCTGTAAAGAGGGTTCTAAGATACATTCAAGGAATCTCAAATGTTGCATTATGTTATGGGGGATCTGATTTTATTGTCAGTGGATATGTTGATTCTGATTATGCAGGTGATCGTGATAATAGCAAATCCACCACAGTCTATGTGTTTGCACTTGCTGACAGAGCTGTAAGCTGGGTTTCAAAACTGCAGTTAGTTGTGGCTACTTCAACAACAGAAGCAGACTACAAAAGCCAGTAAAGAAGCGATGTGGTTGAAGATGGTGCTGGAGGAACTCGGCTATGAACAAAAGAAGATTTCTCTATTTTGTGATAGTCAGAGTGCTTTGCATTTGGCAAGAAATCCAACCTTTCATTCAAAGACCAAGCACATTCGAGTTCAGTATCACTTTGTTCGTGAGAAAGTGGAAGAAGGAACAGTGGATATGCAGAAAATTCACACCAAAGACAACCTAGCAGATTTTTTGACAAAAACAGTCAATACTGACAAATTCATTTGGTGTCGATTCTCCTGTGGTCTGTCTGAGACGTACGTAAGCAACATAAAGATGGCAAGATAAAAAGAATGGTGTGAAGATTGATTGATACTCAATCAAATCTTCAAGTGGGAGATTGTCAGGCGCCTAACAATGACACATCACCGAAAGAAGCAGCCGCCCACGTTTTTTCATCCAATGCAGCCTTTGTTGATTTTTTGAAAGAAAACAAAAGAGCGGGCCCCACTGCTACAGTAAATATTAATATTTTATTATGCATAGTGTTTTTCAAAAACTATAAATAAAACTCCAAATCCTTAAGGAAATCTCATCCCAGAAACAGCTTCTTATATAAGAAGAGTGAGAGAGAAAAAATAGAGAGAGTTTCTCCTTGTAAAGAGAGAGAGTTTGTAACTCCAGAGTTTTCTCCTCATAGTGGAATCTTCTATCCTTGTCTGTGGACGTAGGCAATCAAGTACCGAACCACGTAAATCTGTGTGTCCAATTTTTTATCTCTACTTTTGCTCTACTATTGCTGCGATCCTGCTCTATTAGGCCCCGGGTTTGTCCCAACAGATTTGGTTATGGTTTTGAGTTTGCTTTCTGTTTAATATCTAATCTCTTCTAATTTTTATTCTTTCTTATTTTCTCACACCTAGGATTTAATTTTTCTTTTATGTTAATTTATAATGGTGATTGGAGTTTCGAGCCTAGGATTCAATGTTCTGCATTTTCCCTTCAAGTTGAACTATTATTTTTGGTAATTAATTACATTCTATCATTTAATTTATTATTCATCTGATTGATAGGATTGCAAATGTGGATTCTGTTGCATTGTTGAATTTCTGTTGCATTGTTGAATTTTTTCGCCAATGCAGTGAAGTTCGTCACCTATATTAAATCAGGTTGTAACGGCCACAAAGACCCAGTCAGCCACGTAGGCTAAATTCAAGAAGTCAGTTACGTCACGACTCCACAATTGCAGCGCATCAGTTACGCCCAGGACCCCACTATTGTAGCACGTCAGTTACGTGCTTAAAACCCTATAAATAGCCATCGATGGCTACAGAGAAAGGGGGACTATTCTTGATTGGAGATTTTTAAGCTTGGACTTCGAGAAGCATCAGAGCTTAAAGTTTCTGCACGTCAATCCGGAGTTCGAACCTCGATTCCAGCCGGTTAACCTACGTCAGAAGCTCTTGCGATCTTGGTCTGATCGTCAACAGGAGGCAAACTCGACTCAAGTATCGGGGGAAGCATCCTTTCGCCACCTAGAACCCACATTAAATAAAAGAGAAGCTGAATTAATATTCTCTTCCTTTGTAATCGAGAGAGAGTGAGTGATTGTAAGGGTTCGTACTAAGTGATCGAACCCAGTTTTCTTAAAACAAGAGAATCAATCAATCTTAAATTTTTCGACCCTATACCAATGCGGACGCGGTGTGTGGTGATCGAGGCGACGTTGATAGCAGCTTGGATCTGGTTCAGGCACGGGTGTTCAGCGCGGTTGAGCTCGTCGATGTGGATCTGAAGAGATAGCGTCGAAGGGGAAGAGGCGGACGAAAGGGGTGGCGGGTGGTGTTGGGGGTTTGCCGACGGCGTGTTCGACGGTGCTCGTAGCGAAAGCTGGGGGGTGGAGGTGGGGAGGCTGTTGGGCGGCGGTAGCTGCAGCGTGGAGGGGCTGGAGCGCGGCTGTCGGGCTGGAGGCGCGGACGACTGCAGGAGGCTGGGGTTGAGTGGGCGCACTGGCCAATGGAGGAGCGGTGAGGGTTCCGTGGCTTGGGGTGGGAGAGGAGGAGGAGCGAGCAGGAGGCGGGTGCAGGCGGGGCGGCGACAGGGTGCGGGCGTGACTCAGGTGGCGGTGAGCTTGAGGGTGTGGGGAGGTCGATGGTGGTTGTCGGGTGAAGGCGGCGGTTTGAACACGAGGGGCAAGAGTAGAGAAGGGTGAACGATAAAAACAAACCTATATATATATATATATATATACTATATATATATATATATATATATATATATATATATATATATATATATATATATGTTCATATATATATATATATGTTCATATATATATAGTTAGGGTTAGGGTTTAGATAATTATTAAAAAATACAATTATTTTATTTTAAATCAAGTAATTTTGGAATAATTATCTATAAAATAAAACGTACCAATTATGCTATTACAACAGATAATATATAACAGTAGAAATAATACAACAAATTATACCAAAAATACATAATTAATAATACTATATATTATATGAAATAATACGTAATAATATTAATACTACAATATATTATTTAAAATAATACGTAATAGTACCGATAACATAACAGATTAATTTCAAAAATTTGTTACCGCTCAAAATAAATTTATAGATATTAAAATTATTTAAATAAATATAAAACTTAGATTTTAAATCATAAGAAATTGTAGAAATCAAGAAAAATACAAATACTCTTTTAAAATAATAATTAAATATTTAAAAATATTTAAAAATTATTTTAACTAGTATCAAAATTTTACGGTCATTACACATACCTTAATGCCGATACTTAAATGCAACAACGTATGTTTTGAATAGTTTAAAATTTTTGGGTATACTATCTATTCTCAAATAGAGTTTCTAAATATATATTATCTACAGATGAGGAAAATTCCTGACAAGTCATGGATAGATATCCCTAGGAGTGAACGGTTTCGTGATCAACATTATAGGGATGGATGTGAAGCCTTCATGAAGTATGCCGAAATGAACCCAAAAAATTTAAGTAGCGGTGCAATATACTGTCACTGTTATAGGTGTAAGAATATGAAGCTAAAAAATAAAGATGAAATACGAAGTCACTTAGCAAACTCTGGTTTTTACGAGGAATATAAATATTGGTCCTATCATGGGGAAGGCCGTACCGAAGATGAAGTCCCGGATGTGCATGTCGATACCATCTTGGGCATCAACTATGATATCATCTTCATTGTCATTGTTAATATCGTATTCGGTATGGTCAGGTCCGATATCAGTTTGTAAATTTACTTCTGTATCATCTATTGCCCCTGTTATAGGTGTAAGAATATGAAGCTAAAAAATAAAGATAAAATACGAAGTCACTTAGCAAACTCTGGTTTTTACGAGGAATATAAATATTGGTCCTATCATGGGGAAGGCCGTACCGAAGATGAAGTCCCGGATGTGCATGTCGATACCAGTCATGTTGTCAGGATAGATGATACAGAAGTAAATTTACAAACTGATATCGGATCTGACCATACCGAATACGATATTAACAATGACAATGAAGATGATATCATAGTTGATGTCCAAGATACTCATGCTCCTGAGGACTTGGATCGTATAATGAAACTACTAGAGGATAGTGAAAATGATCTGTATGAGGGTTGCACCGACTACTCCAGATTTTCATTTATGTTGGAGCTCTTACATATTAAGAGCCTCAGTGGAATGACAAATACTTATTTCGAAATGCGTCTTCTTGATTTGCTGCGGAAGGTAGTTCCAGGAGGAGAGCGTAGCATTCCTAAAACAACTTATGCGGCAAAGCAAATAGTTTCCGATTTGGGGCTTGATTACAATAAGATTGATGCGTGTCCTAATGATTGTATTATCTACTACAAGGATAATAAAGACCTTCAGGCATGTCCTACATGTGGAGTTTCTCGATGGAAACAACAAACCCGCTCTTCAACAAGGCAGCCAACAGAGTCAATGTACCAGCAGAGCATGATTCCAGCTAAGGTGCTTCGCCATTTCCCGTTAGTTTCCAAATTGCAACGTCTGTATATGAACAAAGACACCGCTAAGAACATGAGGTGGCACAAAGAAGACCGTATAGAAGATGGTAAGCTGAGACATCTAGCTGATGCAGAGGCTTGGAAGCATATTGATAAGACTTTTCCCAATTTCGCTCATGAATGTAGAAATGTCAGACTTGGGCTTTCTAGCGACGGATTCAATCCGTTCGGGGTTATGAGTTCAGGTTGGTCTACATGGCCAGTTGTCTTAATGCCATATAATTTACCCTCACTGCTTTGTATGAAACAACCGTATATGATGCTCTCATTACTGATACCGGGTAAGCGTGCACCGGGTAATGATATTGATGTCTACTTAGAGCCCTTAATTGATGAGCTAAAACAATTATGGTCGGAGGGTATATTGATATATGATGCCCATGCTAAAGAGTCATTTAGACTTCGTGCTATCCTAATATGGACAATTAATGATTTTCTAGGTTATGCTAATCTTTCTGGTTGGTCTACAAAAGGCAAGTTTGCTTGTCTAGTATGTGGCCTAGAATTTGAAGGCCTTCACTTACCATCTAGTCGAAAGTGTTGTTGTTGGTTCAACAGGAGATGGTTACCTTCGGGCCACAAATACAGAAAATTGAGCAATAAATTTGACGACACTGTTGAGACTAGGAATAAACCACGTTAAATGACCGGTGCTGATATTATAAAGTTGCTTGAGCATCTTCCTAAAATTAGATTTGGTAAGAACCGATATTCTAAGTACGACTCACTCAAAGTTAGAGGCTCCGGCAAAAAGAAAAAGACACTGAAGAGGAAGAGAGCATTCCAACGGGCACATGTTGATAATGGAGTCGATAAATTACCAAAGAGATGGAGTAAATTCAGTATCTTCTTTCAGCTGCCATACTGGCAAAAGCTTAAAATCAGGCATAACTTGGATGTCATGCATATTGAGAAAAATATTTGTGACAACATAGTTTCAACCCTCCTTCAAGATCCTAATAAGTCAAAGGATGACCTAAGGGCTCGTCAAGACTTAGCTGCATTGAATATTCGGGAAGATTTGCAAGCACAAGATGTTGGACTTAAGAAAAAACATAAGCCTTCCTCTCGTGTTACGATGTCGACAGAGCAGATGCAGAGATTTTGTGAGGTCCTCAAATCAGTAAAATCACCGGATGGGTATTCAGCTAATATATCAAATAATGTCCAGTTGCAGGAGAGGAAGCTCTTAGGCCTAAAGACCCATGATTATCACGTTCTTCTACATCAATTGCTCCTGGTTGCATTGCGTAATAATATGGAGAAAGAAGCATTGGAAATTATTATGGAGTATTGTGGGTTCTTCAGAAAATTATGCTCAAAAGTTATAGATGTGAGGGAATTTAAAAAGCTTGAAACAGAAATATCATTAATTTTATGCAACCTGGAGTTAATATTTCCTCCTTCCTTTTTCACGGTCATGGTCCATGTTACTCAACATCTAGCTAGCGAGGTAATCATTGCGGGTCCTGTATCTTACCGTTGGATGTACCCAATTAAGAGGTAAGAGACTTCACCCAATGCATTAATTTCATATGCAATGTATACAGCTAATATTTATCCTTTCTGTGGTTTTCCTTAGATTAGATATTTGTAGTTCATAAAATTTTAATTATTGTAGATATTTGGGGTTTATGAAGCGCCTAGTTCGCAATCGAGCTCATCCAGAGGGTTCTATGGCTGAAGGTTACGTGACCAAGTTCGCAATCGAGCTCATCCAGAGGGTTCTATGGCTGAAGGTTACGTGACCAACGAATGTCATACGTTTGTATCACGTTACATGCGCAATCGCGTAAAAGCTGATCAGCCCCCAACTAAGGAGAAGAAACTCGTAAAATATCCAAGATCTGACTTAGAGCAGGTTCATGCATATGTATTGAATAATCTTGATATTTTCAGCGATTATCGAAGGTAATGTACATTAATTTAGGAATAGAATGACACTTGTATTATTTACTTTCATTGTACCAATACAATCTCATTGTTGTATAAATAGGCAACATTTGGAGAAGCTTAACAATAAAATATCATATCCAAAACAAAAAACACATCAAATAATTTCCCGATTGGTTCAGAATCGATGTAAGTAGTATAGAAGTAGTATTGTATTTTTTATTTTTAAAATTTTAAGCAAACTCGGAGATCATTTTATTCAATTGATGCTTGAATTAAGTTGATAAAGACGTTCTTACTGGTGCCGTAATCTCTGAAGATATTTTAGTTCACGCACAATGTCCTTACTATGAAGTGAGACGATATAGTGAACTCATCATTAATGGGTATAAGTTTAAAACAGTGGCGACCGATGATAAGAGGGTAACACAAAATAGTGGGGTCATGGTCTGCTTTGCTCAGGAATATTTTTCTAGCATAAGAGATCAAAACCCAGTTGAAGCTGATATATTGTATTATGGCCAGTTGGAAGATATTGTAGAGATAATTTACGGCTATGGTAAAAAAATCAGCGTAATTATTGCATGTTTAAAGTTCGATGGAGTCCTGCCAAACCACGCAAGGATCATTATGGGTTTACACTAGTAAACCTCAACAAAGAGATATATCTAGATGAGAAGTTCATATTCGCAGAACAGGCGGACCAGTGCTTCTATGTGAAAGACCCAAATGTTTCCACCGATTGGGTCGTGCTATACAATGAGCCAAGATCTATTGTCCTCCCTAATAATAACGCCGATAGTGATGAGGATAATAAACCAATTGGTTCTTCTGATGAAATTTGGCAGAATTTCTCTTACCCTCAGAATGTCATGCTTGATATGACAGATGCAGAGATTCAGGCTGACAACCTAATTTTAGTCAGGGATAGAGAACCAGAGGCAGATGTGCAACTAGAATCAACTACTAGTAGACGAAAGCAGACAACGTTAAATATAGCCCGAACAATACAAGCAATACCTCGTTCAATACGAAAATAGCAAGTTGTAGAAGGTATATTCTATATGTCATTTTAGGCGCGGATGTTATTTAAATGTTTAATTGCAATAGATGTTAATCTTGTGAATTAGTAGGCAGATATTTCTTCTTTAATTCTCCTAATCCGATTTTACAGATGAAGAACTCGAGGTTATTCGATCGATCGCGTGACCGATCACGATCTACGAGCCTAGGCTCAGAACAGCTTCAGGAGGCACACATTTCATCACATACGGATATAGGTATGAATTTCAATTATCTTTGTACAACTCAAAGTAGACATATGAAACATCATTTAGGCTAAGTTCTTTTTATATGGGTATATGATGCGGAATTATCGGGTCGTCTTCGGGACACAACTCTAGCATTCTCGCCTCATATAGGTATTAATCATATATGTGTTTGTAATATTTATTCAATCATATTTAAAGTCCAGCTTTTGTATTTAAAATCTATTGTATGTTAGCAATATTAATTTTTATTTGCATAGATAATTTGGCAGGCATCGATTATTCTTCACCCGGAGCCACTGATTCACATGCAGAGACCTCCCACACTACAGGTAATGGTGTCGCAATATATTTATTTTTACTTTGCATCTCAATAATGATCCTTCAATTTTCTCGTATAAATTATCTTCTTTAATCATTGTAGAGGGTTCTTGGACACCATCGTCTTCGCATCATACGCAGGGGGCCGAGTTGTGTTCGTGGACCCCTGACATCCCCCATCTACCATTGCCTCTAGACTCGATCATATCAAAGACTAATACTTTGAAGTATCATCCACTTGCACTCAAAAGGCTAGATGAATTAAATCCAATGATGCAAGTTAGAAAGCAAGTTGCAATCGCTGCGATGGATAGAGAAGTGGAGAGAGGTAAACTTAATAATTTTGTCCCATTGTTTTTGCTTTTTTACACTTAACTTCTGTTGTCAATGTAGGGGCAAAGCGAGATGCAACTGGACCGGGAGGACGTGGTGGAAGCAAACCTGGTTCCAAACAGGCACCAAGAGGCTTTCGGGGAATTCTTCAGTGGGTTGATAACTTGCCGATCGGCTCATGGTAAAAAAAAAAATTAATAACTACGTCGGCGTTTTAGTACGGCGGGCCCAAATCATAAACCCGTACTTCAAATTCAAGGAGCTTCCATGGTCCGCATACGAGGATATATGGAGAGAGTTGATGGTATATGATCATTACTTCTTTAATTTTTTTTGATATAGAATACGTTTACAAAATGCTTAGATATCTTATATATCTAGATGCAAAATTGTAGCAATACTATTGTCTTGAGGACTACCCTGGGGCGTGACACTATGTTTTTAATATCAAAGTTGAGGCCATGCTCAAACAGTAGCGACATGAGCTGAAGATATCAACATATGATAAATATACCCAAGATTGGCAGAGATTTTCAAATCTCGATGAGAGGGTGGATCTCGATCATTTCACGGCTCTTCTTTTTTATTGGGATACCGAGTCCGCACAGGTATGAGTATATTATCATGTTGCGTACAAAAGCATATTGTAAATGCAATTCATTTTTAACATCTTTTTTTTGTAGAATAAATCTAAGAAGGGCTCGACGAACCGACATAGCAAGCGCAAGCTTGATCACCACTTGGGATCGACGTCCTTTGCCAATCTTGAGTATAGTTATTGTCGAGACACGGTATAATATTTAAAGTTGATGTATTCACATGCTACAACCTTCAATTTGACCAAACTCTTCGATATTTACTATTATATTTTGTAGGGGAAGCCGATAATGCCGATCAATTTGAAGGCAAAGTTAGCTTACGGCACCTTTCACTCAACATATAAAGATGAAGACAAGATTAAAGCAAACATGGTGTTGGTGATAATTATTTTTCAACAAATCATTAAATAATAAGTATTACGTTGTTGTACATTTCATTAATTAAGAGTTTAAACTGTTGTACTTTGAAATCATTATTTACCAATTCAATATATATCTATTTTCTGTATGTGATTTAGGATAATATTGCTGTCGCGTCGAAGGATGCAGCACTACGTGCTACCCAAGAAGCTGCTGATGACCCTCATGTCTTGTCAAGAGAGGAAAATAATGCCATTGCAATGAATGTGATGGTATAATAACCGGGGTAGATTTCCATTGATGGGGTTGGAGCTCAGCGGGGTACCTCCAGAAAATCCTCCACGACGTCCTCGACAACCTCAACTGCGACTACATCATCAAACAGAACTCACACCACTTCTACAATTATGCGCGTCAACCGTTATCTGCGTGGTAAGATCGACCCTACATTACTCATGCAGCTGACGACGGCTATGTGTTCAGATTTGCCTCCATCCCGTACTAGCGACGATGTTTTTACACACATCGTTTTATGCTTGTCCGGGAAGATTTCAGCTGAATTATTTGGAGAAGTTTTGGACCAAATAGATTTAGACGCTGGCGCACAGGTTAATTAATAATATTAATATGTCATATATTGTTAAATTTCATTCTCTAAATGTAAATCTATTTATTTTCAGGCTAGATTTGCTGGAGGAAGCAGTAGTGGCGTGCAGAGGAGGGAACTTGACGATGATGATGACTCTTGATTTTATGAGGTAAGTTAGTTAATTGTATGTGTGTATGTGTGTATGTGTCTTGTGCGCTTAAATATTTTATGCACTTAACATACAAAAGTTTCTTCATAATAACTCTATATATACTTGACTGTATGTGTGTATGTGTCTTGTGCATGATTGAAAATGACAAGGAAATTATTGCTATAAGTCTTCTCATGTGTGTATGTGTCTTGTGTATGTGTCTTGTGCATGTGTATGTGTCTTGTGTATGTGTCTTGTGTCTTGTGCATGTGTATGTTGATACTTGACTGTATGCATGTGTGTATGTGTCTTGTGTATGTGTCTTGTGCATGAATTATAACTAGTCACAGATAATCAAGAAGTCGTCAAATTGGTCCTTTTTCTGCTGTTTAATTAGTTGTATTGCCAAATTACCAAGGATTTGTTCTAACTTGCAAGTGATTTGCTTTACCTGTAGACATGAAGTTGGTGAAATTTTGAGTGGATGTCACACATGTGCATTACTTCTCTTTATAGCTTTATCCTCTCAACTCCATTAAGATTTACATATTGACCTTGCTCCTTATAATTATAGCCCTCGTCTCTTTGTAATAATCAAATCTCAAACTAAATCCAGCTTAGGTTCCACTTTTGTAAAAACTTAATGTGCACTTTTAATCTTGACCGAAGGCAAATCCAAACTAGTCCACACAATAATCAACTTCCGAAACTAGCAAACTCTGACACTCATTACGATTGCAACCAGGGCAAAGTCTTACATCATTCTCCTACAGAAATATCAAGAAATTTTCATTATTTAAAGCTGACAATGTTCCCCATTGAAAATTCAATTTACATTGTACATGAAGCTAAGTGCTTTCATCAAAGAAGTAATCCATCTTGTTACTTTGTTTGTGAGAGAAAGAGATAGATTATATCACCTATCGTCTTTATGATGTTAGATCAAAGGGGCTTCTGAGCTTCTCTTCTAACTTTCATACTATGGCCAGCTGTAGCTCGGCCTGTGCTTTCTATTCACCTGCTTTCGGCGATGGTAGTTTGTCATGGATGTTATGTTTTATGCGAACTTGTTTCTTTGGTCAGTACATATTCATGATATGATGTTATTTACTTTTTGCTTTCTTTTTCAAGCAACTTTCATGTAATTTTTCTTTACTTTATTTGCCATTTTTTTAACAAACTGATTCTGCGATGGTAGTTCGTCCTGGATGTTATGTTTTTATGCGAACTTGTTTCTTTGGTCAGTACATATTCATGATATGATGTTATCTTCTTGAATTGTTCAGTTACGTGAACTTTCAATTGTGTATTATATGAAAAAGATTATAACGAAGAAGACATTAATCTCTATTGCTGGTTCTTTGCAAAGGAGAATGATTGATAATTAGTGAACGACTATTTTACTGTAGAAAAGTAAATGTTAATTGTTATGTCAAATTTGCCTTTAGAATTAGTCAATTTTTTCACACATCTACGTATACAAGAATGAAAATAATACAAATATTAAAGTAATAGTGGTATTTAAATATTTCTTTTTCGGGGAAAAAAAGTGTTTAAAATGGGATAAGGAGATTTTAATGAAACATGAACATTTTTTTATTGTATTTCTCTTTCTTGCTTATTGCTGTCAGTTTTTATGAAGTGTTTCCTTTGCACTCAAGTAGAATAATTAAATAAGGGTAAATTACACTTAAATACCCTATTGTTTACCTAATGTTGGACATAAATGCCCTCGGTTGTATTCGTGAACGGCTGCACTTAAATACCCCAAAATTTCTAAAAGTTACACTTAAATACCCTATTAGGGTCTCTGTGTGAATGGCTTACAACTCTATGGATCCATGGAAAAGAATGTTTTCCCCTCTTTTTTGTAAAATGTGTTTGATGAACTGTGAAAACGGCGAAGGAATTGTGAAAAACGTGAAGAATAACTCAAAACAGGCTCCACCACACCCTGGTGTGGTGTCTGCCATGGGTGTGGTAGAGTCTGTCCTGCACCACACCCTCCGACTTATGGCAAGTCGACTTAACAGTCTGTTAAGTCGACTTATGAAGTGTTCTCCAGTTGTTGATTTTCTCTCTGTCAAGTCGACTTGTGAGCTCTGTTAAGTCGACTTACGACGGGTTTTTTGCATACGTAGGTTTCCTATTTGCAGTCTGATTGGGGTTTTGTTTTGATATAAATAGGGAAACGATTTGTGAGGGTTTTTTATCAGAGATTGAGGAATCTTTTGAGCATTGTGAGAGGGAGATATTGTGAGCAAGGTGAGATCTTTGGTTGAGGGTTAGTTTGAGAGAATTTGTGTGATTGTAACCCTTTGTACTCTCCTTGATTTAGTGAAATCTCCCCATCCTCTCCCCGTGGACGTAGGCAATTGCCGAACCACGTATATCCTTGTGTTTGGTTTGATTTGTCGTAATTGGCTTGGTTTGTGCAAGTGTTTGGCTTTCTTCTACTCGTGATCACAGGTTCGTTGTGAGTTCGTGCAAGGCTTCCGCAAAGGCGCGCGACAAGTGGTATCAGAGCCAGGTTCAGATCTAGGGTTTTGGATTAGGTGGAGGAAGATTCAGTTTGAAGCTTGGTTCTTGGAGTTCTAGGTTTTGGTGGAGTTAGGGTTTGAAGTTGCCGTTGGAGATCTCGCTTTCCTCGTGTGGTTAGGAGTTCTATTTGGAATCCAATCTAGGGTTCAGTTGGGTAATTTCTTATTCTTCTTAAAGTTTGGATCTTTCTCTACAATTTGGAAGTTGTGATTATGGGTGAAGTAATTGGTGAAAGCAGCAAGATGACAGGCACAGTTCAAGTGGGTTTTCAGAACACTAAGATTAGTGTTGTGAAATATGACGGCAAGATCAATTTTGGTTTGTGGATGAGCGACGTACAGGATGCGCTCAATGCTCAAAATCTGGAGGAGACCATCATGGTCGATGTGAGGCCACCTAAGTATGAAGAAGCGATATGGGAAAAGATGAATCGAAATGCTTGCGGGGTGATCAGGTCCTGTTTGGAACAGGAGCTGAAATACGATGTGATTGGGGTGACGTCTGCGATGAAGATGTGGGAAATTCTCAACAATAAGTACCTTACGAAGAGTGTTGAGAACCGGTTGCACTTGCTGCGAAGGTTATTCAGATTCCAGATGTCCAGAGGTACCTCGCTTGCGGCTCATGTGAACAACTACACTAAGTTGTTGTCGGACTTGGCGAACGTGGATGAGAAGATCACAGATGAGTACAAGGCTATTATTCTTTTGGGCTCCTTACCGGATGAGGAGTATGATACCTTCGTGCTTACGTTGCTGAACGGGAGATCTTCTATCACTTATAGTGAAGTGACTAACGCATTGACGAACTATGATTTGAGGAGGAAGGATAAGGAGACTTCCCGCGCTAGTACTTCAGGAGAGGCCTTGTCGGCGAGAGGTAGAAGCTCATATCAGAAAGGTGGAAACAGAGGGAGGTCAAAGTCAAGAGGTCGTCACCAGCTTGGAAAGAATCAATGTGCATTCTGCAAGGAGCAGGGACATTGGAAAAGAGATTGCCCGAAAGTCAAAGAAAAGGAGAATAGCAAGAATAAGGGCCCGAAGGCCAATGAGGTGAATGTTGCGAAAGGCGATGATTCCGATGATTCGAGCTTTTCTCTTTTGATTACTCCGGAGGTGAACCATTTGGATGCATCGGAGTGGATGCTTGATTCTGGCGCTACTTATCATGTGACTCCTAGGCGAGATTGGTTCTCATCATTTGAGAGACTCGATGGGGGTGTTGTGGTCATGGGAAATGATCAATCCTGTGGCGTTCGTGGGATAGGTACTGTGAGGATTCGGATGCACGATGGAGTAGTCCGTGAGCTGAAGGAGGTGAGATTCGTTCCTCAACTTAAGAAGAATCTTATCTCAGTGGGGGCTTTGGAGGCGAAGGGATTCAGGGTGACCTTTGAGGATGCTGTAGCAAAGGTTACTAAGGGATCTTTGGTGGTGATGAAGGGAGTCCGAAATCATAATTTATATTATCTGAAGGGGAGCACCGAGATTGGCCAGGTTGCTTCGGCGATTTCAGAGGCGGACATGAGCAGACTTTGGCACTACAGGCTAGGGCATACAGGTGAAAAGTCACTGCAGGCATTGTGCAAGCAGGGGCTTTTGAAGGGAGCCAAGAGTGGTAAAGTAGAATTCTGTGAGCACTGTGTACTTGGCAAGAAGACGAAGGTGAAGTTCGGGACGGCCATTCATAGGACGAGGGGCATCTTGGACTACGTGCACACAGATGTTTGGGGTCCCACTAAGACGGCATCACTTGGTGGTCGACATTGGTTCGTCACGTTCGTTGATGACTATTCTAGGCGATGTTGGGTGTACACCATGAAGCATAAGAGTGAAGTCCTAGATTTGTTTGTGGAGTGGAAGAAGAGATTGGAACTGCAGACTGGGAGAAAGATCAAGACGTTGCGATCCGACAACGGCGGCGAGTATACCTCAGACCCCTTTCTGCAGCTATGTCGAGACGAGGGCATAGAGAGGCACTTCACAGTTAGTCATACACCGCAGCAGAATGGGGTGGCAGAGAGATTGAATCGGTCTTTGCTGGAGAAGATTCGATGTTTATTGGCGCATAGTGGTTTGGAGAAGATCTTTTGGGCTGAGGCACTTTCTTATGCGAGCCACCTCATTAACAGGCTGCCTTCATCTGCGATTGAGGGGAAGACCCCTATGGAGATGTGGTCGGGAGAGACAGCACATGACTATGACCAGCTTAAGGTATTTGGTTGCCCTGCATATTATCATGTTAGAACTGATAAGTTGGAACCTCGAGCTAGGAAGGCCATATTTGTAGGATTCAAGCGTGGTGTCAAGGGATACAAGCTTTGGGATCCAGTTGATAAGAAGATTGTGCTGAGTAGGGACGTCACATTCGATGAGGCTTCTATCTTGAAGCTTCCCAGCTCTCATCAGGTGGAGAGCAACCCGACAGAGGAGATTTCGCAGGTGGTGGAGATTGATGCAGCTCCACAGAGTCCAGATAGTGCAGTATCCATGAGAGTGCCGACTGAGGTGACGCCAGGCGAGCACGACGGTGATGCGGAGGATACGGGTACTCATGAGCAGGATCAGGGACCCAGGTGGGTAGTTATGCATTGGTTATGTTGATTCGTATTATGCCGGGGATTTGGATAAGCGCCGGTCTACTACGGGGTATGTGTTCACTTTGACCCGTGCGCCGGTGTGTTGGAGATGCACCTTACAGTCTACGGTGGCTTTGTCTACGACGGAGGCAGAGTATATGGCAGTTACGGAGGCTGTGAAGGAGGCTATTTGGCTTCGAGGACTTTTGGAAGAACTTGGTATATCGCAGCGATCCGTCACTATTCATTGCGATAGCATGAGTGCTATATATTTGGCGAAGAATCAGGTTTTTCATGCGAGGACGAAGCACATTGACGTTCGTTATCACTTCGTTCGGGATGTTCTTGAAGATGGCGATGTGGAAATTGTGAAAGTCCACACGAAGGATAATCCGGCAGATATGCTCACTAAGGTGGTTCCGAGCAACAAGTTTGATCATTGTCGAAACTTGTTGCACATTCGTAATTGTTGAGGCCGTTGGCGGCCATTTGGATGAACTACGGGCGGCTTGATCCCTTGGGAGAGGGGGTACGTAGGCAACCGCATTGGTGCAGCCGAGTTTAGAGAGACGACACATTGGTGCTCATGTTGGTGTCGGCTCAGTGTTGGGAACACTTCGCCGAGGTGGAGAATTGTGAAAACGGCGAAGGAATTGTGAAAAACGTGAAGAATAACTCAAAACAGGCTCCACCACACCCTGGTGTGGTGTCTGCCATGGGTGTGGTAGAGTCTGTCCTGCACCACACCCTCTGCCACACCCACGGTGCAGGGTGTGGCAGAATCTGTCCTGCACCACTCCTGCACCACACCCTCTGCCACACCCATGGTGCAGGGTGTGGCAGACTCGTTTTTAGAATCCTTATTTGTTGAGGAATCCTCCTTTGTTTGGGATTGTGTTTTATTATAAATAGGACCACGTTTTTTAGGGTTTCTTAAGGAGAGAAAAGAAGAGATTTAGCATTGTTTTGAGCACTTTGAGAGGGAGATATTGTGAGGGAGTTGAGAGCTTTGGTTAGGGTTATATTTGAGTGATTTTGTGAGTTGTAACCCGTTGTATTTCTCCTCCATATAGTGAAATCTCCCCATCCTCTCCCCGTGGACGTAGGCAATTGCCGAACCACGTATATCCTTGTGTTTGGTTTGATTTGTCGTAATTGGCTTGGTTTGTGCAAGTGTTTGGCTTTCTTCTACTCGTGATCACAGGTACGTTGTGAGTTCGTGCAAGGCTTCCGCAAAGGCGCGCGACATGAACAACGTATTGTGTCTATGTGATGCTAAAGTGTTTTCCCCTCTTTTTTGTAACACACAAATTACTGCGTCTATGTGATTATAGTCTTGTTTTTTAGCACGCAGTTAATTTGTTTAGACTTATGTAACACAGAGGTTATGTGTGTAAATTTAATCAAATAGCTCTTGATATTGGATGGTTTAATTGTTATATTTTGCAAACGCGATGATTGTTAAACTTGAGGGCTGATTGTACACATTGGTTCCTAGTTTGTCATTTGAGTTTATGAATTTAGTGTTAATAATTAGGGGAAAAATAATGTTATCGATCATCTTGGTGCTTCGAATGATCGATGGATCATGGATTACTGATCATGCCTTGAGCAATAACTATAGAGTCCTAATGCTCGTCTCTTGCCCATGGCTTTGCACTTATATATCTTCCCTTTTTTTTTCTTGACATTTACACGTGCTCTTGTTTTTCAATGTAGTATGTTGCTGCTTCAGTTAATCAAGAATTGGAGTATTCTCCAAAATATTCTCATGTGATTTCCACATGCTAAAATTTGGTCAATTACTAAGCATACTTCTAAATTTAGGAATATATATATCATATTCTTAAAAATAATGACACCTTTTATCTTGCAGGTGCATGTGTTTCTTTGAGCATCTCTAGAGAACATAATGCTCGTGGACCTGGATATCGGTTTGTAAATAATCGTCGTTGTATTTTTAAATCACAACTTTCTTTGTGTTGAGCCCAAAACAAACAGTGAGTTGATTGAGTTGTGCGGCAAATTTATATGCATATATGTGGATGATTATAAGTTGGCAGAGTTAAGAGAGAGATGATATGTGTGAAAAAACATGTGTGACTTTGTTGTGTAGTCGTTTAGAATTGTTTGTGTGATTTATTTAAGTTGTTTTGTGGATAGTTTAATTGTTTGTGTGGTTGGTATATATGTGATTTTTATTGTTGATTTGTAAACTGGATTTACAGGTTTATTCAATAGGAAATTTGTGTGATTTACAAGTATACCAGCCAATTTGGAAACTACATTATAGTGGGAAAGAAAGTATCTCAGACGGATTTTTTACATCCCAGACGAAAATATCCGTCTAGGATGTAAAATCGTCTGGGTTGCTGCCAGACATCCCAGACGAAAAATTCCGTCCGGGTTAAATATTCCAGACGGAATTTCGTCGGGGATGTCCCCAGATGGAATTCCGTCTGGGATAATTAACCCAGACGGAATTTTCCATATGGGATGTCTAATATCCCAGACGGAAAAATTCTGTCTGTATTAATACCCAGACGGAATTTTTCGTCTGGGATATTGTGTATCTCAGACGGAAAATTTCGTCTGTGATGTATCCTAGACGGATGCATCCCAGACGGAAAATTTCGTCTGGGTTACTTATCCCGGACAGAAATAATCCGTCTGGTATGTATTACAGACGGGTTTTTTTCCATTTATAAAAATCCGTCTAGAATACATTCCAGACGGAATTTCTGTCTAAAATAAATTATTCTAGACGGAAACTAATTAGACCCGTATTCCAGACGGAATTCCGTCTGGAATAGTTTTTCTAGACGGAATTATTGTTATTCCAGACGGAATTTTCTGTCTGGAATGAGTCGTTTTGTACCAGTGGTACTTGTGTGTTTGGGTGTTTGTGCACGTGTGTGGTGTGTGTACGTGGATTAAATCTAGAACAAACTTCATTGGACCAAGAGGCCTATCCACTAGCTTTCTTATAATTTAGTTTTATTTTGAGGTTCGTACTAGCGTGACAATATAATTGAGTAAATCCACTTTGCTGAGCACTTGAACTTGAACTGCTTGTATTAAAATGTCTACGATTGAAAATAAAGTATATAGCTAGCTTATATTACAATCAAGTGGTTTAAAAGAATTAATGGTTATTTAACAAGGCAACTATGCAGACCTCTTGATGCATAAAGGTGCTTATTATTCTAGTAGATGATTCGTTCTCTTCATCGTGATCAATAGAACTTGACACATCTGCAAATTTAAAATCTTAATGTTTAAAACTTTTAATGCATATTTGCGGCATTTTTCTAGTTCTTTGGTTGTGAAACCGTTAATTTTACAGCCATGTAATAGACTAGTCGTTGGAATTGAATGTGCTTAATTTTTTATTTGTAGATCTTTTACGAAATGCAGATCACCTCATTAATGCCTTTTTGAAAACTCACTTTAAATGCTCGTTAAGTGCATCTTAATATATTTTTTATCATACCTAAACGGGCGAAATAATGGTGAACTTTTTTTAAGAGGAAATAATGGTGAATGTTGATGATAGTTATCAAATATGGGGTTAACTGTGGCGTTATCAGTGAATTAGGATTCCTTAGTCTTCCTTGGACAGTTGGTTGTCGAACCGAGAATTCATTCCTGCATGTAAAAGACACATGAGAGGATCGAAGTTGCGATCTCCGGTGATTCCTCCAGTGATCAAGTTAGTCAAGTGCTTGAGTGGAGAAGAAGTAGGGTTCAAATGTGTTCAATAGCAAGAGAGTTGCTTACCTCTGTGCACCAGACAATGCCTCTATTTATAATAGGTTCGGAGGGGCAGTTGTGTAATTTAGACCGAGTCCAAGAAGGTGGCTCAGTCGGCATATACTTTACAGATGTTGGATACAGAGGGGGTGCGTCACCTAGGTGTTTAATGTGATGGCGATGAGGAATGCATGATGCTGATGAGATTTGATGAGTCATAAAGACTTTCGGGGCTAGAGTAATGATGGCTTTGATCGCGCATTTAATGTAATGGTGATCGACTGTCGGCGAGAGATTCAAGGACAAACCGCATCTAGACTCAACTCTATGGAGGGTCAACAAATGACACCTTTGCCATTTTATATATTCAGCCATCTTTTATTCGAAAGTTCTTGATCCGGCCTCATAGGAGGTAGAGGAGTAGGGTCGACTCAAGTAGTGGCTTCGAGTGAGGATACCTTTCAACATGCCCCTCTTTAGGAAAGGTCGAGTGTCGATGTTGCTCGAGCCATCCTACCTAGGGTGACGTCGACCTGATATTTAGCTAGTGTGGAGTCGACTCTTGGGGGAGGATTAACACTTAGTCATTTATGTGTGCTAACATTAGCCCCTTTCACTTGGACTCGGGTGGCAGAGTTCGAGTGAAATGAACTGTTGACTGTTGGAATTTCGAGACACATTTAAGAGGGATCACCGAGGGTTGCATCTGACGTGATGTTCTGACATCATGGGAGATCATGCGTCAACATCACCTTATTCTCCAAGCTCGGAATGCGTGATAATTTGAAGGCAGTGCTTTGGTTCCTGTGCGGTCCTTTGAATTTTGGGGTTGATCTCAGCCATCCGTCAACAACCTGGTCGATCGTTGTGCTCATGCCAC